CTTCCTTGCAGTTTACATTATTTCAGGTCAAGATACTCGCTTGAGATTAAAACCACCACTATCACCCATTTTCTTTTTTGCACTCTTCAGGGAGGACTTTTTGGCACCACACCTGTGAAACCCTCCAGAGCAGTATTTCTCAACCTTGGCCACTTGAAGATGCATGGACTTCAACTCCCAGAATTCCCCAGCGAGCATGAAGATGTGTGGAGTTGAAGTCCACGCTACTCCAGATATTGGTGAACTGCATCTCCCAGCATCCCTCTCTCTTGGCTATGCTGTTTGGGGCAGCTGGGAATTGTAGATCCTCTCATTTGGAAGGCTGCATGTTTTGTCTTCCTTTAAGGTCTGGAAAATACGCATCATGAAATTGCCACCTACTTCCTTTTCTTTGGAAACAAGGAGTTTTCAGACTTTGGTCTTCATGGTTTAACATTAAGAGGTACTCCTTTTTAAACTTAGCATTATACTTGCAGGGGAAGAGAGATGGGAAGAAGGACCGTGTCATCTGGCTTTTCTCTCTTGTCCCCAACTGCAACAGGAAAGGGAATGGGGAAAAGGGACATTTCACTGGCCTGGCTGAAAGAACATCTCCTCTTCCTGAATTGTACCCAGTTAATCATTGTACAAAGATCACTAAATAACATTAAGAAGTGGTGCCCGGGCCTATTCTTTCCTTTTTTTTTTCCTCATCCCTTTTTCCTTCTGTGTCGTGTCTTTTAGATTGTAAGGCTACATGAAGGAACTAAGACCCATGGTATAGAAAAGTGGCATAAAAATGCTTTAAAGAAACCATGGTAGACAAAACATGGCTGCCAGAGTAGTTTATCAAGTACCACTTTGAGCTTCCCTTATCTTTGACAGTGCTGGCAGGGGCTTCTGGGAGTTGTAGCTGAGCAAATCTGGAGGGCTAAAAACTGCCCACTTCTGAAATATTGTAAATAAACCTGTATAATGGAGAAACATTTCCTGAGCGCAAGGGGAAAAAAAGTCTCCTTTTCATCCCTCTTGAAAGGTCCATTCTCTACAAAGCACCACAATGTTAATATTCCATGCTGGCTGGAGTTCCCTGAAATGGATTGCTTCTGTTAGAGACTGACAGTTATTGCAACACATGGGTTTTTAAAAAAATATATATTTGTGAAATTAACTGTTTAGTTCAGCTGGGGGTGGGTAGGAAGCAGTTCAAAATACAAGACATGTTTGGAAAAAGATTTAAGGCTTTCAAAAACTTATTCTATAGATTGGAAATTTCTAAATCTGGTCTGACTAGCCTTTAAATATAATCATGACCATATGTGAAATAGCTTATTTACTTTTCTGATGTATCTTAGGAGTAATCATGATAATGGATGCATAATTTTCGTCCATACATATTGAAGTTCCAGGAGGAAGTGGCAGGTTTTTGGCTCAGGGGCTTTTTTTTTTTTTAACCTTTAAATCTCCATGTGACCTTGGTTCTGAATGTTGCAGGGACCATGTCCCTTCATATTGGATTCCCTAGCCAGCTTTCCTCTAATACGAACAGTCTCTTAAGTTCTATTGTCTATGGCCGATTTCTGTTAGAAACAGATCTCCCTTGCTGCGGCCCTAATTCTCTGTAATTTTTCTTCTGAAGGAGCTTTGTAGTACAGTATTATTCTAGAGCAAGTGTTACTGCTGTTTCTCTTAGAGAGGATAACATTCTGGTTGTGAATGAAGTAGCTTTACTATTTTTATTATAGCTTTCACATGTAAACCTATGTGGTGCATTTTATGAGTTGTGTAAATAATTTGAATTAATTCCCACAGATAAGTCAGAGCATGCTGCTCAAACACATTTATTTTAAAGTTACAACCTGCACTTTTGGCAGTCCTTTCACTGAAGAATGTCTTAGTCGCGACAGTGATCTCAAAAAGAAAGAAACCAGCTTATTTGGAATTACTACATGTACGGCTCCCAGATATGGTCCCAAAAATTCAACAACCGCTCAAAGGCAGCAGAGATACAGAAAATCTAATTTTCTTCTACCAGCTGGGGTCTTCAGGATTTTTGCAGCCTCTATATGAAGCTGTATTGCAGCACCTCCCCAAATCTTCATTAAAATGTGTAGCCCAGTGGGCACTGGGAAAAGGGGCTGAATAAAGTAATGCTCTCTTGCATTTGAATGCCCATGCAACCGTGCCAGCAATGAGGAACTTTTCATTTTGAAAATGCAGAAAGAGTGTAGTATTTTGAATGATAGTTGTTGAATAAACCACAGGATCTCCTCCCTCCCCCAATCTTTTATCTTTAAAAAGCTTCTTATTTTTGTCACTGTGGCCTTTTGTATAAGCTCAAACCCCTTTCTCTGGAGTAATAGCATTTGGCCCTGGCCTGCCCTCTTCTGGTTTCCAAGCCTTATTACATCTCCTAAATAATTTATAGGTGCCCATATTAACAGGTGCTATTAAGAGTACAGTATTTCCCATATACACAATTTGATTTAGAAAATAAAGATATCAGAAAGTTACTTCTCCTTTAAAAAAAAAAAAGCTCACTTTCATTCCGGATTAATTGATTCCTACACATTGGTGCTAAGTGGTATATAAAATTGGTGGAAACTCTTACTATTTCCTCGAAGGCAATACCACTTTTTAGGAGCATTACAGGTAGTCCCCAGTTTAATAACAAGTTCCGTTCCCAAGATCTGTCCTTAAGTGAAATGTGTATGTAAGCCGGGACAGTATTATAAGTATTATTGCATAATGAACTCGAACCACTGTGTATTTGACTTGAATCATTGTGTATTTCAAATTTTGCTACAATAGGCTCCATTCGTAACTAGGGGTCGTCTGTAAACTAGATGTTCTTAACCCAGGGACTGCATAATGAACTCGAACCACTGTGTATTTGACTTGAATCATTGTGTATTTCAAATTTTGCTACAATAGGCTCCATTCGTAACTAGGGGTCGTCTGTAAACTAGATGTTCTTAACCCAGGGACTACCTCTACTGTCATCCAAGTTGTAACTGACATGATGTAAACATGACTTGCATACTGGACCCGCGGGCAAGTCAAAAGAAGACACAGACAGTGCTAATAGTATGTTTGACTTCTAATCCACTACAACACCTTAGACATCCCCCCCAACATGTAGTGCTTTCCAATAAAGCCTTCCTCATTTTCTAGCCATTTTATAGAAAAGCAGAGCACTTGGTATCAATGCATTGATGCAGTGGTGTCAGTTTGAAGGATTCAGATTTGTTAGGCACTGGTGAAAGTTTTGGGATAAGCCAAACCTTTGCAAGAGAGATGGGCTGTACTTGAATTAAAATAGAACAAAAACCTATAGATACGTAACATCAAAAAGGTGGCAGAAGGTTGTAGCAATAGAGTAAGGGTTTAATTCAAATTTATACCCATAACTGTTGTAAAAGAAAATTGGAAGTCATCTCTTTATATTTCTTTTTTCTTTTTTTCTCCACTTTTGGCTTGCTTGCTTTTTCTTTCTTCCTCTTTCCTTCCTTTCCTTTTTCTCTTTCCCTTATCAAATACTAGTTTCTGTTAGTTTTTATCTTTTTTGCTTAAAAATTTAATAAAGTTATTATGAAAAAAAGGGTGGCAAAATGACCTTTAAACTAAACCCTGAAAGAAAAGCCAACAGGTGCCAGGCAGTATCTGGTCTGGAAGAGTGTAGTTATGTCAGGAAATACTATGAAGGATAGGACCAGTGTTGGAGATGGGTTAACAGGTGGTCACGTCCCATGTTAAAAGGCAAAATCCATAGTATGCCTGGATCTGGAGTACTGAGTACTAGTCTGGTCACCCTATTTGAAAAAGCAAGTAGTAGAGTTGAAAGAAGAGTTCAGTGAAAATGCTCAGGTTGGTTGCACGTCTCTAGAAGAAAACACTGGAATGTTTGGGACTCTTTAGCTGGGAAGAAAAAAAAAAGACTTAGGAGGTAGATGAATGAAGTGTATAAAATCATATGTGGGATCGAAAAAGTGAACAGGGATTCATTCTCCTCTTTTAAACTAGGACCAGGAGCCATTCAATGAAGCTGATTAGGAAATAGAAAAAAAGCACTTATTCATATAGTGCATAATTAATCTGTGGAAATTATTAGTACAAACTGAGGTAACTTGGCTTTAAAAAGAAATTGGATACATTCATGTGACATCTATCAAAGCCTGTTGGTTTTTAGATTTGATGTTACTTCAAGACTGGTAGTAGCATGCTACCACTTGCAAAGGAACCATGCATGGGGAGTGGGGGGTATGTCTCCGTTTCCTTCTTGCAAGCACCCAAGGCATCTGGTTAGCCACTGTGAAAAAACAGAACGCTGGACTAAATTGGGCTTTGTCCTGATTGGGCATACCTGTTCTAATGTCCCTATGTGTGTTCCTTTAAATCTCAGCTCATCAACAAATTCTCTAGTGTTCCGGCATGTTACCATTTTCACGGGAAGAACTGCTCCATGCACAGAAGAACTGGTTTGATGTGGTCTATGCCTGAACCAAGACATGTTTTGGATGTTTTGGTCTATACAGAAAACAACACAAGGCTAGTTCATTCAGGATATGGATTGAAATCTGGTTGTTCCATGTAGAAGTGGTTGGGGAAGGGTGAAGATGGGAAAACATCCAGGACAACAGCAGCAGCTGAGGGGAGGCAGCAAAAGCGTTGGAAAGATTGGGGGGCAGGTAGGCCAGTGGGATATGCTCTACTGGGGGGCTGCTCCTTACTGCTGAGACTGTCACAGATGTACAGGCTAGTACATGGGGGACAGTGGCTACAGGAGGGGAGAGAAGGAATGGCACACACTGGGGACAGTCAGGCCAACAACAGTTGCGGCCGAGGAGCAAGAAGGAAAAGCACTGGGCATACAGTAATCTTTAAACCAGTGAGCCTTTCATCCAATATAGTAGCAGCTGTGACAAACATTGTGAAAAATGTGAAGGTAACACACCTTCTTTGCCCCCTCCTAAAGAGTCTGAGACAGACCATTCCACTCAACAACTTTCTTTCCCTTGTAAACAGTTTTATTCACTCTTTAACAGAGTCATGCAATCCTAAATACATATTGCATCATTGTCGTTGAGGTGCACACAAGTGTATCCAGAGGGCTTCATCCTTCGTAGCCCGGTGTCAAATATAACTGCAGTCCTGAGTGAGGTTCCGCTTGCTTATCTGCTCCCACTGTCTGCTCATCGTCTTTCAGATGGGCACAATTTCTGCATCTGGCAATTTCTGTTTTCACAAAAACAAAAGCTGGCTGGGAGGGGTGCATGAAACTTGGCCTTCGTCCCTGAGAGAAAAAGGCTACAAGAGAAAGCTACATTTTAGATGGCCTTGCTGGGAAGTTCTTTCCCTGCAATTTGATTACCATTATTACAATCTTTTGAGAAATGCCTGGAACATTAGGACCACACACATTTCAAGAGTATTGGTGAGAACAGAATAAAGTGTACATATCACCTAGGCCAATCTCATGATCCTTGTCAACGTTTGTCCTAATCCCAGGCTTTGTCTCCGTATATTGATATTTTCCAGGCATACTACTTAACAGGTGAGGTAACTTGAGAAAATGCACTTTTGACTAGTTTTCTAAATGAGGAGTAAGAAGAGTTTGACAATGTCATGCTTATGGGACAGAATACTTTTATGGGTGCTCACCAACTGCACCAAACCATGTGAAGACTCCAAACCCACGTAGTCTCTTCAAGGGACACTATTCTGAATGCTCCTCAAGGTTATTCAAGCTAAGCATTATTATCCAAGAATATATGCTGGTTTGTTGCCACTGTGGTTGAATTTTCAAAACATTATCAATACTATTGTTCATAAGATCTAAGAACTAGAAGGGGCCATTTGGGCCATCAAATCTAACCTCTTGCTCAGGGCAGGAATTCTTGACAGATGGCTGTCTGGCATCCACTTTACATATCCAGTAAAGGGGAGCCCACCACTTCTTCCAGTGCTCTTCCTGTGAGGAAGCTTTTCCTAATATTCCATTGAAATCTCCCTTCTGAAAACTTAAGTTCATAATGACATGTCCTGTATTCTAGAAGGATAAAAAACAAAACTTGACCTTCTTCCCTGGGACATCCTTTCAGGCCTTTGAAGATGTTCTTTTCCTCCTAGTCTTCCATTCTCAAGGTTAAATATTCTCAGTTCTTTTCACAGGTCTTCATTTCCAGCTTCCTGATCATTCTCATTGTCTTTCTCTGAACTTATTCCATTTTCTTTTAATCCTTTTTAATGTTTGGTGCCAAGAACTGGAATTGATAGTCGAGATAGGATCTGGCCAAGGCACAATAAAGTGGAACAATCACTTCCTGCAATTTGATAATTATACTTCTGTAAATCCACCCTAAAAATTCTTTTGTCTTTTTTGCAGTGATGCCATACTGCTGATTCACAGTTAATTTGTGGCAACCACGTCAAAATCTTTCTAACCAATATCCAATTAGCCATTCTCCATTCTATACCTGTACAACTGATTTGTTTCATGAGTGTACAGCTTTGCACTTATATATTAAATTTCATTCTATTATTTTTGATCCACTTCTCTAACCTATCAAGGTTGTTCTGAGCCTTATTTTTGCCTTTTAGGTGTCATCTGCAAATCTGAGCAGCATTATTTCCACTTCCTCATTCTAGTCATTAACAAAAATTCACACTTCTGACTGGTCTGGTGTGGAATTATCAATAGATACTCTTTGAGAATGATTTTAAAACCAGCTGTTTAATTGTTATGCAATCACATCCAGAGTTTGCTAATCAGAATGTCATGGGATACTTTTTCAAATTCTTTGCTGAAATAAAGGCATTACATCTGTGGCATTCCCACAGTGTAGCAAGGTTGTTAGGTAAGACTTCCTGACAAACCCAAGCTGACTTCTGTAAGCATTTTGAAAACAATGTAATTACTAGATTGATCACTTTACAATCTGTTGTAGAATCTTCTCAGATATTGATATTAGATTGGTCACTAGTTCCCTGGATCCTCCTTCTTCCCCGTTTTTGAAGAAAGGAGCATTTATCCTTCTCTAACTCTCTGGCACTTTACCCGATCTCCAAGATTTTTCAAAGGAGGTTATGCAACACCATCAATCAATTCCTTTGGTATCCAAGGATAAAATTCATATGGTCTTGGATGAATTTTCTTATTCAAAAGTAAACAGGTACTTCCTGGCCATGTTTCCTTTCCTCTGAAACCTCAATCTTGTCACTTCATTCGGTTCTTCACAATTTCTTTTGGAACATATACTTCTTGTTGGAAAAGATTTAGCCAAAATAAGAGTTGAGGAGTTCTGCTTTTGTTTCGTTTTAGCATTTTTTTCATCTTTACTAAGCAGTTAATATGTATCTAAACTCAGTAGGTATTTTTCATTAGACCATCCAAGTATGCAGTGGAAAAGCTATCTATGTAGCAATGCACACACTTGTTCTTATGTGACTACACAAAGCAAGGTATGATAGTACCTGAGCAGATTTGCATCTTTTATCCCTGAAGGGGGGATAAGGAATGATGCAGGGTGTGACAAGGTACAACTTGACTTCTTCCCCTGGAGGCTACACAAGATCATTCAGAAAATCTGACCTGGGAAATAACTCTATGTCCCAGTGAAGAACTGTAAGTTATTACAGCTTATTAACAAAGAGCTAGAAGCAAGGATTCAAGGTAAAACGAAGCAGTCCACCACCATTACTGTTATGGAAATTTTAAGTGAATCCTTCTCACTGAATTAGTACATGGAACTAGATTGCCAAGCTGTAGCACTTTATGGTTATTTTATGGTTAATCTACAATAGGATGGCACCCAAAGACAGGTAAAGTAGCTTTAAAAAGAAAAGAAACCTAAACATCTACAGTTAGTAGTTTTGCTCTTGCCATGTCTTCAACAATTGCTTGAATGCCATTTATGTCCATAGTTTCAGAAGTCCAGAAGAGGTCCTATCTCAAAAACTGTAAAACTTCCATTGGTTTTAATGCATATATTCCTAAACTGTAGATCCCAAGACACTGGAGATTCACCAGAATGCTAGTAACAAGTCGGGGAGGGAGGAAAGAGGATTGCAGCATAAGAGATGACTGTTAGATGAACAAGCAAATAATTGTTCTTTTAGTGTAAAAAAGGTTGCACGCTGCTGCTTTGGTATGATTTTCATATACTCATCACCAAGGAAAACATGTTAACATGATAATTAACAAATGCATAACTAATGACACTTTTAAAGGGTTTTTACCCATATAAACAGACTTTAACATCATGCATGAAATTCAAGGGACAATACCATACAAATAATGCATTTAATATATTTCTCAACAAATTGCTACTTTATGCCAGTTCTTTTTGTTTTCCCCAGCCACACTTTTGCATGTAGTTAACTTATCTTCTTTTGCTCAAGAAGAGGGACATCTGTGTGAATTTTCACACAGAGAATTCTCCCTGTTGAAAATTTTCAATTTGTCCACTTTGAGAGAAGCTACTAGATGCCACTTGTTTCTTTACCAAAGTATTGTTTATACTAGACACGTTAATTCTACTGAAACAGCATCCTCTCTGTGTGTTACATCCCATAATTCATCCCAGATCTTGAATAGTCTATAACTGCTATCTGAGCATGTTCGAAAGGTAACTAAAAGGCTACAGGATGAAACTGGATTAGATAAAAAGACAGATCATTACATTTCTTCTCAAGTCAGCAGACATTAGGTGATATCAAATGCATTTTACCACTTTGGGTGGAGAAGACAGGGCGCTCTGCCAATGCATAGGTTTGGAGGTGTGAATTTGTTTCTGCATACATTACATATTCACAAGCACACATTCAGAATGTACACGTTAAGAACTTAACAGATAACCCGTCATTAATTCATAGCTAGAAAAAGGAACACAGTGTTATGACAATCACCAAATAAGTGTTAGATTAAGAGCATGAAAGAAAAGGATAATTACAAAGCGTGTTGAGTTGGCAAGGTAAAAATAGGAGATGAGAAGGAGAGAGAATTTATGGAGGCACCAATCATCAAATCCATCTCAAGCTCATTCATCTCAAGTTCATTCATCCATCCTCACTGCAAGTTCATTTTAACACAGAACACTACCTGATAAATTTGAATCAGTGATTTTGAATGCTAGGTAGTGTGTATATATTTAAAATAAGTATCATATGATCTGCAGTACTTGAAGAGGTTTATACCCACAGCTTTGCTGTTCTTCTTTAGGTTATTATGGAAATGTGTTTCGTATCATTATTTTTCCTTTGAAACAATGTGATATCGAGGACACAGAGGTCCCAACATACACTGCATATCTTCAGCAAACTCCACGTCAACATTATCAGAGAAGTGGTGTCTCAGCCTCTGGCCATGGTTCGGAGAGTTGTCAGCTGACGTTGGAAGATCTATGGCAAGGAAAGCAGTGGACAGTATTGCAGATATGAGCTCAGCAAAGTTCACAACTAGCATATCAGCATTCCAGAGGATGGAATACCCATATTTGCACCTCGGCAAATTTCAGGGCCATTATATTACTTAATACTATAAGTAAGATTAGTATTACTCTGTAAGATGCTTACTATAATTTTTATATAACTTAATTTAGGCCTTCACTGGACTCCACATTCCCCTTATGTTGGCACTTATTATAAAATAAACTTTCTGTTCCATCAAATACTTTTAAAAGGGCACATGTACATTTTGCTACCCACAGAGAATTGTCAGACCACATGCTAATCTTCCATTTTAAAAATAAGGGGGAAGAGTCTAACATGCTTTTCAAGTCTTCCACTTTATCATGCTTACCAACACATGTTGGCAGCTGGTTTTAGAAACTATGCTATAGCTGGTACAGGTTAACTTACACTGATAATTCATTAGATGTGAAGGTGGAAGCTGTATTTTACTAGCAAGACAAAACACTTGCAGATATTCATGTGCAAATATGTTGTATACAGTATTTCTAGACAAAATGGGTGTAAAGGTATGTTTACCCCTATCCTGGTTAAATCTTATTTGCTGCAGCCATTCCTAAGAGGCAGAACTTTGTTTCTGCCTTGGGGGAGAGGAATATTGTTACAGGAATATATTGTGTGTTCTAAGCACATTTTGATAGGACCCAGTAGCTTAGCCCTCTCCAATGCAATCTTCCCTAGATAGATGCACAACTTCCAGCATCTCCAAAGAGGATTCCCAGCATACTGGCTTGGAATTTGGGGAGCTGTTATCGTTAACACATTGAGAGGATTCCAGTTGGAGAAAGGTGAGCTAGCCAAATAGCCCAGGAATAAGAGCATAGCTGTGACTCTACTGATTTATGGCGATGCTCTACAATAGCTGATAGACAAGACTTGACAATCTGATAAAAAAAAAAAAAAACAGCCAACATTTTCTGCAAGAACATGTACCTGGAGATACTTTAAGCGCAAAAATGACTGCTATTAGCATTGTGACTATTGTTAGTATTGTGACAGCTATTTGCTACTGACATAGTACATAAAAGGTTGTTGACTTGGTTTGAATGGAACCCAGAGTCACATGCTGCAAGGTATAAACTGGGTTCTTCCCTGAATACAAGAAGCAACTAAGGTTGTCTTCGGTGTGTATTAGTTTATCTCTGAGGCATTAGATTTTTATGCCAAAAAGCTAGAAAAAAATATCCTGCATTTCTACATGTTCCTTGTGTAATAAGTGAGACACTTAACTTCTGCAAAATGCTCCCAGTCTCATGCACTTTTCAGGCAATGCATTACTTTTATTGCAGTATAAAAATATGCCCACTACATTCAACCATGGCTTTACTTTTTCTTTTTTTAATTTTGATCTCTGAAGTATATGAACTTCCTTTCAAGTGAGGAACAGACCTTGGAAAACACACCTACACACCAGCAACACCACTTATAAGAGTTATAAGTTACATAGCTCCCCAGCAACTGATGCAACAA